AGAGCTTCTAAGAGCTCCACAAACAGATCCCTTCCTTTTAGGGCCGCATGCAGAGGGCTGCTTCTCAAAAAACACTCCAACCTCATTTTTAGTTAACTAACATTTAGGGATAGGGGTTGGGTTGAGAGTAGGGATGCCACTGGTTAGTTGAGCACTGCAGTGATCTTGTCAACCAGACGCTGCTGTATATGAGGGTTAAAGCATCAATTTCTGTCTAGAGGATCTGAAAGTGCAGTACCAAGTAGGTGCTCAGGGAGGCCTGGGGTGAGAGTAACGGGTGTATGTGTCCTGAAGCAGGAACAGCACAGTGGGCTGGGTTTCTAGGGGTCAGTACCCATCCAACTGGGCTGTTTCATCATCCAACTGAAGGAGAAAGAGGAAGGGGCTTGCACACGATGGGGCAGGGGCAGCTTGGGTTTTGGGCAAGATGTGTGACATGGAGCTTCGTCCCCTGGCTGCACGGGCTCACACATCTGAGAGGATGGTAGGCAGAAAGCATTTGGTGAGACCCAGTGCCACAAGCTGCGGTGCTTCGGGGTTTATGTGGTGGTGAGTTCTGCAGGGCCCAGTTCAGCCCTCTCAGACAAGTGGTTTTGGGAGCAGAGGGCAGTATTCCCTTAGTCCAGGCACCTCTCACAGAGGCCCCAGAGCAGGGCAGAGACTAAGAGTGTGGGCTCTGGGGCCAGGCTGCCCAGGTTCAAATCCTGGGCCTGTTACTTACGAGCTGTGTGACATTGGAGGAAGGTACTTAACTTCTCTGTGCGTCAGTCTCCTCAGCTATGAAATGGGACTGATGATACCTACCTCATAAGGTGGCTTGGAAGTTAAATGAGTTAATAGTGTAGTACCTGTTGGCACGAGGTTAGCTGTTATTAGTGGTTTTGTGGATAATGGAGAACAGGGTGAGGGGATGGTCAGGGAGTGGTGGTCAGAGGGATGCTGGAGCAGAGGATGTGAAAGATGTGAAGTCAGCTTATGAGCTAGCACTGACCTGTCCCTGGGGGCTTCCTGAAACCCTTGGAGGAGGATGGGGGGTTTCCAGGTGGAATTGAGAGCCAGTGAAAATTGGGCTCTTATAGCTAATAAGAACTTCCCCACACCTTCAGGTTTGTAAGGCCCCTCTGAGGAGGCCATGTGGTCCCAGTGAGCGGAGTTTCTGATATGGCTGCTGGCCACAGGCCTGGAAAGAGCTGGTGTCCTGGTCACACTGCCACTGGGGCCTGGAGCCAAGTTTGGTGCCCCACGGTGAGGCAGAGGCAGGCTGGTATGTGTGCAGGGGAGGGGTGGGAGGATGCTCTGAAGGCTGTCATGGCAGCAAAGTCTGGAGGAACCAGAGGCAGAGAGGCTCTGGGAAGATGCAAAAACTGCCGTCCTTCATCTGCGGGTCTTCACCTCACGACAGGCCATTGTGAGGGCAGAACTGAGGGAGAGTCAGGCTCCAGCTGGACCAGGAAACAGAGCTGCCAACCACGGCAGAGACCCACCCCAGGGGACTCTGGTTCAGCCGGTCTAGGCCGGCAGAGGAATCTGGGGTTAACAAGCTCCCAGGTGACTTACACTATGCAGAATTTTGCCTGCCTTTGGAGGAAGGGACTTCCTGTGACCTGAGATCCCTTCTAGCTCTGATGGCCTGTCATTCTGGGGTCCCCTAAGGTCCTAGGCTTCTGTCCTGACAGCTTCCATTCCTGCAAGAACCTCTTGTGTACAAGCTCATCCCGTTAAGCTCCTCCCTGTTCAAGGGCCAACCCAGGAAACACTGCTCAGGATGCAGTCTCACACAGTGCATTGTCAGGAGGCTTTATTTCTTTGTGGGTTTTGATCACAGCTTCTGATTAGGGTCCTAAAGGGTCTGCCTTTCTGTCTGCGTCTGTCTGTGTGAGTCTGTGTGTGTGTGCAAGTGTGTTTAGCATCCATGTGTGTGTGCGTGCGTGTGTATGCATGTGTACGTGCAGAACGAAAAACAGGATCTAGGCCTACAGCTTTTGTGTTTCTGTGTGAGAAGGCCTCAGCTAGTGCTCGTGTCAGTGGTGGGAAACGAGGGCTGGAGCCTGAGGAACCGGAAGTAGGGCTGGACCCCGGGGAGCCGTAAAGTCAGAAGGATGCTCTGTTCTTTGCCTGCTTCACAGAGTGGGAATTCACACAGTACTGGGAGTTGCAGCCCAGCCCTCCTGGCCAACCCTGCTTCCATGGCCTCTGCTGCTCCCAGGGACTCAGGCTTCAGCCCCCGGGGGCTCTGGCCCAACTCACAAGGCCTGACCCTCCCCTGAGGCTGTGGCTGCCCGAGAAGCCCAATGTGGGTCGTCTGATAGGTGCAGTAGAGGGAGATCCCCTTCACTGATGATGCCCATGGGCTTCTGGAGAACTCAGGGAGGCCCAGTGCCTGTCAGTCGGGGCAGAGAATAAAATAATACTGAATCTGATGTGGCCTTCAGTCTGGGGTCTAACCTGTCCCAGCTCCATGGTCCCTCAGGCCAAAGAAGGTCCTCAAGGGTTGGGCTGAACAGACAAGAGTCCAGGAGGCAGCCACTAACACCTGCCCGGGGAAGAGACGAGGAGCCAGAGGCACAGTAAAGTTAACAGACTCAGCATCACGTCTCTTGACCAGGATGTGGAGGAGCTGTGACTTGAGCCCAGCTTGGTCTCACTCCAGAGTCCACGTTCATAAATCCTGTGCTAATGGCCCTCCCTCATAGGATCTGGGCATCCTGGCTCCAGCTCACCTGAGTTCCTCGTGGGTCCTTCTCCCGCTGGATGCTGGCAATGCAGAGGCTATTGGGACCTGCAAACAGTCTCTTTATTGTCTTGTCTTCATTGAGCATTTGAAGGACCTTCAGAGACCACGAGGGCCCATGGTCTATAGTACAGAAGTCTGGTCCTGGTTCAAGGTCACAGGGAAAGTGAGCTTGTGGGGGCCCAGAATCTGGAGTTTCTGCTGCTCAGCTAGGGGTCTCTAACCCTCAGTTGTGTGGTGAGCTCATGGGGCCCTCCCCCTGCTTGGCCAGCCCTAGAAATTCACCCTCACCTCTGACCCAGTGCAGCTACACCTACATGTGGTTTGAAGGCCAGAAAGGCCAGCGGGCTTTTGTTTTGTCTGGTTTTGTGTCTCTTGAGGAAAAGGTTTGAAGTGTCTTTTAATTACAGAGGTTTGGAACCAAGAGGAACTGAACTCATTGTAAAAGGATCTCTTCACTGAGGGTGGAGTTGCATCTTTGCCCATCTTTCATTTATTTATTTTTTGGGAACACTTATATTCTTGGGGAGCAGGGCATGGCAGCTGTTTGGGGGAGTTGCCCAGGATTCGGGAGCTAGATTTTGCATCAGAGTCCGGCTTAAGGGCACTATCATTGTGAGTAAAGTGGAAGGGGTCAGGGATGACCACAGCAAGAAGTGGTCCAGGGCTGGGAGGTAGGGATGCTAAGGGAACAGAACCTAGGAAAGTTATGACCTGAGGATAGGGAGCCGTGACGTTTGAATCCGGATGTATTTTACTCTGTGTTGTCCTTCCCTTCTTTAAACTCCAAGCTTTCAGTAGACTAGGAAATTTTTTTGTTGGTTAAACCTTACAGTCCACTGTTGGCAACTCTTTGGGGGAACTGTCCACACGTGGTAAGGAACAGCAGCTGCAGGAAGCAGGCAATAGCAGAGCACACAGTTCGGGGAAGACTAGATGTCACCCGTGGAGGAGCAGAGGAATAGCTCAGAGCCACTGAAAGCAACTGGCAAGCAGCACCTACTGTAGCCCAGGACATATCTGGGAGCGGGGCTCAATAAAGACCTGAGCTGGTGCCTGCAGCCAAAGGCATGGGGGCTTGGCTCACTGTCGTTTTGAAATTCAAGGGCTCTCCAAGGCTGCCAAGTTCTGCAACATCTCAATCCCATGAGCTCGGGACGTGGGGATACAAGAGGCCATTCTTTTCTAAGTGTTTATTATCTTAGTTCCCACAGTTATGATGTGTAAAGAAAACAAATGTCATCATAACATGAAACTATTCACTAAGAATCTGCCCACTTGTCAAATTAATGCTCACTCGTACAAGCTTCCCTCACTTAACAAGTGTCTATCCCTCTGGCTCAGGGCAGTTTGGAGAAGTGTCAGATACAACAGGATGATATAAGTTCAGTGCAAACCAACTGCAAAGTTCACGAAGTTCACAAAACCATGTCTGAGAACTTCACGTACAAGGTTTTAGACCAATGTAGCCGGACCAGTTAACGAATGGAGTCAGAATTATGAGGATGATGGCAAGATGGGTTCTTCATGAGAGAACGATTTGAATATTGAGGAATTGAAAGAGGCCCTTAGGAAAATGAATGAACCCCTTAAATATTAAACAAACAGAATCTCTTAATGAAGGTGCTATAAAGTAAAATGTGAAGGTTGTGATAACACATGAAAAGCTCATTTTGTTGGCATAAAAAATATACCAATACCAAAGTCAACGCACTTGATTAAGATTCTTTGTTCATTCTAAAAATTAGCATATAAGCTATATTTTGTAATATGTACAGCTAAAAATAACTTGTCTTCACCATTTCATTTGTATAATACAACCTCAATGAGCCCCTTTAATTCACTTTTATCATTTCCTTTTTTATAATAAAATCTCACTGAAACCCTTTTTCACTATTTACTGAGCAATTTTGACCTTCATTTCAAGTGGATTCACTTTAAGTGACCTTGTGCTTTTGCCCACGACCCTGATACACGAGGCCTTCCGTGCTGACGGTCCTCCTCCGAGCCTCTCTCCATCCTAGGAGGCTGGTGTGACTTCCCGGGGGGCCTCAGTCAGACACAGCCTACAAGGTAGCACTCTCAGGATGTGTGGGGACCTTCGTCAATTCAAATGACCTTTGGGTATTTATTCCTCGGCATGGAAGCCGCACACCTTCCCCAGGCCCACTGCAGCCTGCACGGGCTGTCAGCAAACCATGTGGCCTCAGCCCAGGGCGCTTAGTGTGGCCCTGGCCGGGCGGGCTGCAGGCAGGGGGGAGGCACTTACTTGGCCGGCCGGGCTCTGGGCCGCCTGCAGCTCTCCGGGGGGCTCCTCGTCCTCGGGAATGTGGGGCATGGCAGCCTCCTGGTGGGAGTGGCTGCGCGTGCCCGGAACCTCCGCTGCGTCAGCCCCAAAGATGCTCCAGGAGGCCTGGGCTCCACAGGCTGAGGAGACGCCAAAAGGACAAGTCAAATCCACTCCCATCCCTGACCCATGCTGGGTCCCGTTTCCAGGTGCCACAAGCCGCGGAGAGAGCCTGCTTGAGTTTGCATCAACAAGGGCTAAAATAGGCGAGCAGAGGGCGTTTGGAATTGCATTTCCTCCTGCTCCCTGGCTCTGTTTACAAAGTCAGAGGTGACCCAGAGATTTTGCATCTAATTTGGGCCACACAGTAAACGCAGCCATCCCAGAAGGGAGAAGAGTGCTTCGAGCTCCTCAAAGCCACGGCCGATGGGGGACAGACACTCCATTGGGAGCCAGGCTTGTATTTGTCAAACGTGTGTTGAGCAGCAACTGGGTGCCAGGCACTATCCTAGGAGCATCACCGCCATCACCTAAATTAATCCTCACGATGACCTCTGATGCAGGCATTACTATTCACATTTTATAGCTGAGAGACTGCTTCAGAGAGTAGAAGTCATTTGCCCAAATCATACAAAGAACGAAGCATTTGAATCCAGATCTTCCTGATTTGGAGGCCACTATACCACACACCCTTGCTTGGCCAGGTGGGGGAGGAGGAAAGGATGGTGTCTCCCAACTTCCTGCCCCGTGGCTCACCTCATGCCCTTCAGCAGCTCTTCTAACCCTCAGTACGGGGCTCTCTCGCTTGAGGACAGCACCTCATTGGACCTGTCAGGCCTGCTAAAGTCATGAGTCTGGAGGCTCAGCCAGGGTGGATCTCCTGTGCCTTGTGCAGTGCTTGCCCTCAGCAACCTTGGGTTGCTTCCCCAAAGCTACACTTAACCCTCCCCATGGGGTAAGGCCTGGCTGGGGTTGACTCCAGTCAGCATAATCTCATCCATCTTGCCACAGTGATTGGCTCAGGGATAGACAGTGGATCCAGCCTAAGCCAATGAGCATGTGGCAATGCTCTGGGACCCAGATGCTTTCTCTTGCTCCGGGTGGTGGAGTGTGCAGATGTGAGACCTGGTGCTGCAGACGCCATTTTGCTTCCACGAGGAAGGTCAGACTGAGGAGAAATCTGACACACCCAGAGGAGAGCAGACCCAGGAGATCTGCAGAGAAACAGAGCTGGAGCCCTGATCAAAGCTCACCTGCAGCTGAAACTCTTTCTGAACTAGCCAGTTACAGAAACAATTAAGTCTCTTAGTGTTTAAGTCAGTTTGAACTGGGTTTACTTGTAACTACTAACTTGTAACTACTTGTACTAACTTGTAACTACTAACGACTGTTACTTGTAAGTACTAACTGCGCTTTCACACTTTCATGTTTCTTGCCAGTCAAGAGGTGTAGGACCAAAATCTCTCCAATAAACCTGAGCCAATGGGTCTGGCTCCTCTGCTTCCTCTTAGAAAAGGGGACCAGTCATGTCAGGTCTCCATCTGGAGAGGCAGGAGAGCAGAAATAGTAGATAGAGGACAGGCTTTGGAACCAGATACCTAGATCTGAGTCTTCACTCTGCCACTCACTGGCTGTGTAGCCTTGAACCTTTGCTTCACCTCTGAGCCTTGGATTCCTCGTCAGGGGAACAGAGATAAGAATGCCTCCCATGTGGGACTGCCCCTAGGATGAAAAGAGACAGAGCACCCAGCATGGAGTAGGTGCTCACAGAGGCCACCTGCATGCTGTTCTGCAGCCCAGAAGGTCCAGAGGGCTCTGCCTGGGTTCTTCCCACCCCTAAACTCCTTTAGGTCCCCTGCCCTAGGGGGATGGATGACACCTCCAGGGACCCAAAAAACCAACAACCGGCCTGGTTCTGCAACTTCAGAGGTTCCTTGAAGGAGCTGCTCTGGGAGACAGCAGATGAAAGGCACCAGAGGCAGATGTCGTCCTCAGACCCTGCCCTCAGCTGCAGTCAGGGGGCTGCTGGGACACACACAGGGCAAACTGAGGACATTGCCATTTACTGAGTATCCACTATACCCTGGGTCCTATGCAAGATGCTGTCTGCTGGAGGCTGCAGGAGGAGAAGCCAGGAAGCCCTGCCATCGCCCAGGACACCAGGTGTTCTTCCTGTACCACAGAAATGGCTTGCGAAGGCCCTAGAGCCAGAGTGCTGTGGTGCAGCTCAGATGTGGCATCAGTCACAGCTCTGACAGACGCCCCCAGCTAACACACACCTCTTGACTGAGCTCCCTGAGGCAGGCAAGGGGTCTGATTGATCACGGATACCCAGAAGGTTCATCCAGAAATGCTTGTTGACTTGTATTTAAAGAACTGGAGAACTTTAGCCCCGGAGTTTTAGTCATTGTGACCACCATCTTGGCTTTTGTCATTCTCTGCGGTGGACAGGGAGCCCTATTCAGCTCTGAAACAGTTGGGGTGACCCCTGCTGGTCGGCTCAAGAAATCTCATCTCAAGAAGATGATCTGTGAGCAGAGTCATTCATTCCTTCACCACCAACACTCACACCTACTCTACCATAAGGATGATGAAAATGTGGTCTTGGCCCTCAAGGAACACGGAGTCCAATGGTGGGAGGAAGTTGGAAAACAAGATAAGGAGGTAAACACTTTGGAAGTGAGAAGCTGCAGGATCCCAGAAAAGGGTCCCTAATTCCAGAAACTGGGACGAGTGGAATACAGTTTTAGGGAAGAGCCCACGCTAGAATGGTGTTTAGACTGAATCATGAACACTGAAATGCAGCTGAATTTCTCTGAACAGAATAGCTGGAGGCCTAGTGGAGGAGGTGAGACAGGAAGGTGGGTCATGGCCAAGAGGACAGATTTAACCTGGCTCTTGGGAATGAGAGCTCTGCGTCCAGGGCATGCTGTGCCTCCCAGCTCAGGTTGTTTCTGTATGAGTAAACTCAGCATCAGGTTTGCCCAAAGGTGAACTCTGTGATTGATTACTATCACCTTGACTTGGATGTCAGCCGCAGTGACAACAGTGGTCCTCGGCAAAGCATATGGTAACAGAGTTTGAGGGTAGCAAAAGAATACCCACAAACCCCAGTTCTACCAGAAAAGCACACTACACACCCAAAGAAAACTCTTAAAATGATGTGTCATGTGTGTGCAGGTCTCCAGGCTGTCTTTTTTTTTTTTTTTTAATACTGTTTTATTTTATTTTAATTAATTAATTTTATTTATTTACTTTTGGCTGCATTGGGTTTTCGTTGCTGCACGTGAGCTTTCTCCAGTTGCGGCGAGCGGGGACTACTCTTCGTTGCAGTGTGTGTGCTTCTCATTGCGGTGGCTTCTCCTGCTGCGGAGCACAGGCTTTAGATGCGCGAGCTTCAGTAGTTGTGGCACGAGGGCTCCGTAGTTGTGGCTCGCGGGCTCTAGAGCGCAGGCTCAGTAGTTGTGGCGCACGGGCTTAGTTGCTCCACGGCATGTGGGATCTTCCCAGACCAGGGCTCAAACCCGTGTCCCCTGCATTGGCAGGTGGATTCTTAACCTCCGCACCACCAGGGAAGTCCATCCAGGCTGTCTTAATAGGAGTATGGTTTCCAAAACAGGGAAGCTGACAGTTCTACTTTTCTTTTATGTCTTAATCTACACGAAGTGTATTGTGCTCTGCATGCTAAGAGGGATTCAGATGATCTGGGGCATGTTCAAAAAAGGGGAAGCGGGGGCTTCCCTGGTGGTGCAGTGGTTGAGAGTCCGCCTGTCGATGCAGGGGACACGGGTTCGTGCCCCGGTCCGGGAAGATCCCACATGCCGGGGAGCAGCTGGGCCCGTGAGCCATGGCCGCTGAGCCTGCGTGTCTGGAGCCTGTGCTCCTCAACGGGAGAGGCCACAACAGTGAGAGGCCCGCGTACCGCAAAAAAAAAAAGGGGAAGCAGGACAAGAATCTGTGTTTAAAGAACTAAAGACCTTTAGCCTGGAAAAGAGAAGGTACAGGAAGAAATAAAATCTCTTTGCAGATATTTGAAAGCCATTCATGTAATTCTATTGTCCCCGAAGGGTAGATGCATGGCCAATGACTGAAAGGTGAGATCAAGGCAAGGGAAAACTTTCTAGTGGTTGGAACCATCAGAAAATGAAATGGGCTGCTCTTTAAGGTAATGAGCTCCCCATTCCTGGGAGAGTTTCATCAAAGGCTGGGGCAAGGGTCATAGGATTCCTAACCCACTTCAGGGGCCTTTTCCAACCCTGGAAGTCCCTGAAATCCTGATCTCCTCCTAATCACAACAAACCACAGATTTGAGGGCCCCATCCCATAGGATTCTAGGACCGTGGAATTCCAAAGTCGCATCAGAAATACCTCCACTTCCTTTCCTTCACCTCCTGCTCCTCAAGAAAGACCTTAATTCAGTCCCTGGGTCAGAAAGCAAAGTAAAACAGAAACGAATTAAGTCAGACAAGCACTAAGAGGTGTCAGCTGCTGCAGGATAAAGCAGAGTGGAGGCTGGCTGAGGTCCCACCCTTGACAGGATGGAACCCCAAGCTCCTCAGGGGGAGCCCCAGCAGCCCCACCCTCCCAGGCCATTCCCACGCTGTTCCTGCCCCATCGCTTTCTCTCCCACCCATTATTGTAAACTCGCCGCTTAAAATAGCAAGGTAAAAGCAGAGTCCCTCCCCCAGGGTGACATCTGGGTTCCTCTGGAGCTCGTGGGCACGTGGACCTCGCATCCATCACAGCAAAGTTTAGAATATAGTCTCCAGGAGGTGGTGATCTAGAGCAACGACCCAAAAAAGGAGAAAATATTTAGTGATGTTTGGTCTCTGAGCCGCTCCTTCTTTAACCCATTTTCAGGGCCCTTCTTGCTGCCTCTCCAGCTTGGTCAGCAAAGGGTTAGGTGGGTCATTGCCAAGAGCCATCAGCCCTTTGGACTCTACTCTTTCTGCCCCCAGCCAGTGCTTAACTATACAGCTTGGCCTATTTTACAGGAAGGAAAACTGAGGTGCAGAGAAGTGAAGCAACTTGACTGGTCCAGCTACCTTTGTTCCTGGCACAAATTATCTAAGCCTCTGCTGGAATAACTATCCAATGATTTGTGTCACGGAAAAGGCCAAAAGCCTCTAAACCACATTTA